AATATATTAAATTATCAGAAATTTGGTTTTATCTCTCTAGAGAACCCTGTCTAACACAACCACCCTTCTCAAGGAGTCCCGGTGGTGCGTGGTTAAAGTGTGGGTGGTTTGCGCTCACCATGAGAGAGAGAAATGGCATTGTGCTTTCATAAAAGTGACAGCCTTGGAACCTTTGAGTTCTCCTCCACCCTGTAGGGTCTCTCTGATTTGGAGTCCACTGGATGGCAACCACTGTGCTTTGGTGGTGGTGTAAGGTGCCATCGATTCTGTTTCAAATTATAGCGACCCTATGTGCAACAGAACGAAACACTGCCCCCTCCTGGCCCATCCTCACAATGGTCCATTGTTGGCAACCACTGTGTCAGTCCATCTTCTCATAGGCCTTCCTCTTTTTTGCTGTCCCTCCACCTTCTCCAGGGACTGATCTCTCCTGACAACATGTCCAAAGCATGGGAGACAAAGTCTTGCCCTCCTTGCCTCTAAGGCACGTTCTCATTTCCTTCCTCTTAAGACAAACGTGTTTGCTCTTTGGTATTCCATAGTACTTTTGCTGTTCTTTGCCAACGCCACAATTCAGATTTTTCTTCGGTCTTCCTTATTCAGTGTCCTACTTTCACAAGCATTTGAGGCAATTGAAAATCCCATGGCTTGGGTCAGGCATGCCTGAGTTCCCAAAGGCACATCTTTGCTTTTCAACACTTCAGAAAGGTCTTGTGCAACAGATTACCCAGTACATTGTGTCATTGGATCTCTTGACTGCTGCTTCCATGAGTGTTGATTGTGGATCCAAACAAGATGACATCTTTGGTTTGGGGTCACCCCTTAAGGAGCCATGATGACCCAGTGGGCTCATTTTGGGTTGCTCCCTGAGTTTGTGCTTCAAGCCCATGAGCTCATCAACTACTCGGTGGGAGAAAATGAAGGGGGCAGTTCTATTCCGCCATGCAGGGTGACCATGAGTTGGAATCAACTGGCTGAATGAATTTTTTTTTTTTATTGCTCTGGGTATGAGTGAATTCCATTCCCCTGAGTATTTCCTCTAGTGAAGATAAATCAGTTAGACTAGAGTGGGCTTTTCTGGTGTTTCCAGATGAGACTTCACTTCTCCTTTCTTCAGGCTCAGGGACAGTTCAGAAGTATCTGAGGAGACGTCAGCAAAGTTATGGGAAGATTCCATTTTCTTTTAGTTCTACTTTTCCACCACCTTTCTGAATCCCACTCATGGGTACATTACAGAGGCATGGATATGGTGGAATTGAGAGCAAGTGGAGGGGACCTGAAATGTGGAGACCAGGGATTCTTGTGGATTGACCTGGCCCTGTGGTTCTTCTGGGAGCCCTGTTGCTCCGAGGTTAAGGGCTGTCTAAACCAGCCAGCCACTCTGAGGCAGAAAGGACAGTGGCTGGCTTCCATAGGATTACAGCCTTGGAAGCCCTCTGGAGCAGGTCTGGTCTGCCCTCCGTGAGGGTCACAGTGAGCTGGTTTGGTAATGGCTGTTGTTTCTGACATCCGGCTGATGTTTAGCCACTTGTTGATTAACAAGTGTTAATCAACACTTGTTAATGTAGGTCCCAGGCCTCACCTCAGATTAGCAGAGCCAAATTTCCAAGCATAGTACATGGGAATCTGCATTAGGTAGTTACCATTCAGTCACTGGGCAAATGTTTGTTTCTCTCAAACCATTGGTTCTGGAAGAGAAGAGAGAAAGATGGAGAAGCAGACCTCTCAGTGTGAGAGAAGCCTTTGCCTTGCTTTCTAGGCAATCCGTGCAGCCCCTCCCTTCCTGCGCCTCGTCTTTCAGACAGGGAAGACATTTCTTACGGGATGCTTGGGCTGGGACCTAGGCAAAATATCTCTTGTCACTTTCTCCTTTGTGAATGAAGGTTTAGATTTGTTTTCTGTAAGTCATGATACAGCATTATGTACTGGGAAGCCTTTAATTTTATAGTTTCCAGAAGTTAAGTTCTGTGTTCAGAGGAATCCCACCTGTGTGACTTGAGGAATGCATAAAACAGTGGCAAAAAAACCCCAAAAACTCTTTCTTTCAATATCTGTCATGCTATCCAACGAGGCACCCTAGTGGCAATGCCAGCTAAGTGTTGGCTTGCTAACCGTGACATTGACAATTCAAACCCTCAGCCGCTCCTTGTCTTTACCTGTGGAGAAACCCTGGAGGACAGTGGTTGTGAGTTCCCTTAGGAAGTTGCAGGGTGACCTTGGTTTCTCTTGACTTCCTAGCGCTTACCGTGGCCTGATCTGGGTTTAGTGTTCTATTCATACTATCGAATGGTCATGATGACCCTGGATGTGTGATCAGGAGCTTATCAGGAGGTCAGAGAGAGTGGTGCACTTCCGTTTGTAGTGAAGTGTTCTTAAGATCGTCACAGGAATTGTTTCAACTCCATAGAACATGTTTTTATAGAACACGGGACATCCTGAGGGGTGGTCACCAGGCCTAGCTTTGAAGCTCCTCTGGGGGGTATGGGTGGCAGGGGTTTGAACTGCTAACCTTTTGCTTCATGTTGCTTCCCACAACCATTTGTTTACACCTTTGCTAACACAGTTAGACTCACTGCATCAAGTCCGTTTCTGACTCACAGAGACCCTGTAGGACAGGGTAGAAGAAAGGCTGTGAATCTTGACAGGAGCAGAAAACCTCAGCTTTCCTCCTGGACGTGATTATAGTAAATTGTGTCTTTGGAAGTCCTAGACAGTAGCTGCTTTTTGCACTTGGTCTTCAGAGGACATGACAGGCTTATAGCCAGGAACATGAAGACGAACCCCCTTTTGAAAGATGATGAAGCAGTTTTGATATTCCTTTGACCCCATGTTTCCGTTGTCACCAGTTGGAAAGCTTTAGTTTTCTTACAAGTAGGTGGGATGATTTCAGTGCTTGTCTTTCAGAGCTGCTCTGGCCGTTAAGCCGTGAACCTAAAAGATTCCTAGCAGTAGCTTGCCTGCAGCAACTATTTGAAGGTGAAGTCTCCTTATTTTTTGCTAGGTAGATTTCTTTTCCTCCTTAAGGAATGAAAGTGCTTGTGTGAATAGGTGAATGGAGCACTTTTTACAAAATTTAGATTTGATATGAATTAATGTATGACACCATTAGATTGAGCTCTGAACAAATAGCCATAGAAGGCGACCTCGTGTGAGTCGGCTAGAATGCTGCTCTGTAAGCTTTTCAAAAGTAGAGTACCAGACATTTCTTCAAAAGTTCCTTTGGGTGGACTTGAAGCTCCAACCTTTGGTTAGCATCTGATGTAAGTGATGTCGGTGACCTGGGGATCAGAGCTGGCACCTTGGGGATCAGATTGGAGAAAAGGTGGCTGGCTAGTCAGAGGGTTATAGATGGCATCAAGTTTTCCAGACGCAGTAACACCGGAACCAAGACCTAAATAAAGGGGTGCATGTTTGGGGTGACATTTAGACAGCTTTTTATGAAAGAATTGGTACATCAGAGAGTTTAAATCCCATCCTTTTACCAGTTGCTGTTGAATCGATCCCCACTCAGGGCCCACGTGTGTGTCAGAAAAAGCTGTGCTCTTCTGTTGGGAGCAGCCTGCTGACTCAGTAGCTCATGAGAAGCCAGCTCTCTGCTTGGGGTTTCTGTCTTTAAGAGGGTATTAGAAAATGTTGTCCAGTAAAACTTGTGAAAGAAAGCACGAGCTAGTATCGGGCAGAGCATCCCGTCAGAGGAAGAAAATGCAAGTGGGTTCCACTGATACAGAGCAGTTTCACTGCGTGCACGAGGCCTAAGGTGAAATGGGCGGTGTGGGTGGGGTTGGGTGGTTGTAAGCTTCTTTCATCATCCTTTTAACATAAAAGTGCCACAAATAACTTTTTAGTGTTCAGGAGGCCTATGAAGCCAAAAGACACGAATTCTATGGCGAACGTCAGAAGAAAGAAGATGAGATGAAGCAGATGTTCGTGCAGCGAGTGAAGGAGAAAGAAGTCATACTGAAAGAAGCGGAGAAAGAGGCAAGTACTGCTGTGGTGGAATTGGCATCCAGTTGTTAGCTGTCTTGTTAATTTGGAGGCTTTATCTCAAGGATCAAGCTGTGATGCAAATTGTTGCTGTTTAAAAATTAGCTAGCTGAACACATAGTCCTTGAATACATATAAAACCAAAACATCCAACTCACTGCCATCACGTGAATGCCGATTCACAGCGGCCATATAGGACAGGGTAGAACCGCCTCTGTTGGTTTCCAAGAGTCATGGTCTCGGAAACTCACACGTCAGTTCTACCCTGTGCTGTAGGGTCACTATGAGCCGGCATCAACTCGATGGCACTGAAAGTTAGTTATCTCTAGATGGCCTTACCCTTCTCCCAAAGAGTGGCTGTTGGTTTTGAACTGCTGACTTTGTGATTAGAAGCCATCAGGGCTTCGGTTTGAATATGATGGGGTGCCCCCCCAAAACCAGAATTGCACTGGGGGAAGTAGAACTTCATAGTATGCATTTTTCCCACTTAGGGAGCATCGAGCAACTCGCTCTGAGTGAGTGCACCCAGTGGCATCGCCTTGGAAGGTTCTCTTTGGTCACGGTGTATTTTTTCATAAAAGCAGTTTCGCTTGAACCTTGCGTTTTGTGAAAGCCGATTTAAGAGGATCACAGCATGTGGCTGTGAAATTCTGTTTCCTGCTCTGGAAAAATGTGGTAGGAACTTGTGATACTGAGCACATCTTACAAGGATGGGACTATGGGGAAAAGTCAAGTGTATGAGTGGTTTTTCCGTTTCAAAAAAGGTGAGCATCAAAAAAAAAAAAGGGCTGATTTGTGGCAGCCGGGGGACTGGTTTTGCCACCACGACAATGCACCTGCTCACACAGTCATCTCAGTGTGCCAGTTTTTGGCAAAAAACAGAGTACCTCTCTTTCCCCATGCACCTGACTCACCTGACCTCGCTCTTTGAGGCTTTTTTTTTTTTTTCTGTGAATGAAGAGGGACATGAAAGGACAGTGATTTGTTGATGTAGAAGAGGTAAAGATAAAAATCGAGGAAGGTACTGTCAGTCATTTGAACAGATGAGTTTGAAAAATGTTTCCAAGAATGAAATCACAGATTTGACAAATGTATTAAGTATAATGGAGAGTATTTTGAAGGTGATGAGGTGGTTTTGTAAAAAAATTGAAACACATAGCTTTGGAGGGGAATCTGGCTTTTGGGGGTTACCCCTCATATCTGTAGACTTAAAAACACCGCACTGTAATCAAAATTAAAATGTTGGCTTACGCAGCAGCAAGATGAGGCTTTCCACGTCCATGCAGATAGATATGCAGTCTTAGAAACGCACAGACATGGCTCTGCTCTGCCCTGTGGGGTCACTTGCGTCATAATAGACTCGTTGGCAGTGAGCACAGGGAGCAGAATATGAGTTAGCCTTTACCAGTGGTTGACTGCAGGCTTGCCATGGGCGGGGTTGCTAAGCAGCCTGGTAAAGTGGACATGGCCTCTGTAAAGCGCGATTTGTTGTGGAGCATCTTCAGCCGGCCGCCCTCTGGCTGGTTGTTGAGGGCTCAGTCTGGATCACATCTGAATGTTACGTTTCTCTGGTCTCTCTCAATCAAGAACGTCCTTAATTTGAAGTCATTTTTCAGTGGCATATTTGGGAAGGCATTGTAATGGAAATAGGGGTAATGATTTTTTTCTTTTTAAATTAATAGATTTGTCTTAGGTGGTGTCAGGGTAAAACTTTTAATTAAGAGTATATTATCTCTCATGTATTTTAATTCACCAGTGAGGAAAAAAAGAGATGTAAACGCGACTGATAGTTTTTTCTTTTCTTTAACTTTTTATTGTGAATTTGGACCAAGGTTTACAGAGCAGATGAGGTTTCCCCTCAAGAGTTCACTTTCTGTGCCACCTCATTGAGTGCAACACCCCCCCCCCTCCCCAGGGTGACATCACGTGTCCCACTCCTCCATGCGCACCCTCCTTTTCTGCTTTCTGAACCTGGCCCCTGGACAAATGCTGCCCTTTCGATCTCAAATGGTTGATTACCCTAAGCTGTGTGTACCTCCCTAATGTTACTGCTCCCCCTATAGACCTTTCACCTGCTTGGCTGAAAATTGAGCCACGGGGCTATGGTCAGTTCCAGATCCTTAGTCTGGAGGGATGACCGACCAGTAAGTCAGGCTTTTTTATGACTTTGTCCTTGGATAAATGCTACCCCTCTTGACTGAAAAATGGTTGATTGTTCTAAGGAGTATGTATCTTTCTAGTGTTGTTGCTCGCCTCATAGACTCGTCTTTTGTCTGGCTGAAAATTGAGTGATGGAATGGGCTGAGGTCCAGGTTGAAGACTGACCGAGGACCACAGTTTAAGTTCCATCTGTCTGTGTCAGACCAGCAAACCTGGCTTTTTGCGTGTGATTTTGAGTTTCGTCCCACATTTTCCTCCTACTTTATCCAGAACTTTTCCATGGGATTCCTTTCATAGGGTTTAGTGGTGGGTAGCTGGGCCCACGTTATTTGAAAAAGCTATGTAGAGAACAGATTAAGGCGAAAAGAAAGGAACATTCGGTAGGAAAAGGTCAGCGGGTGTTTTAAAAGCGGAGTTTCGTTTCAAGCTGTCGTAGGATGTCAGCACAAAATTCCCGTACAGCGGGCGCCGGCTTTTCATGCCAGTGTGAGTTTTCATGCCAGTGTGAGGGCCGGGGGCCGTGTGTAGCGCCTGAGGGGGTGGGCCTTTCCTCTCTGTGCCCCAGCCAGACGGTTTCCTGTGGAAGTGCTGCCACACTGTGTCAGTAGTGAGAATTGCATCTCTGTCGCAGCTTCAGGCCAAATTTGAACACCTCAAAAGAATTCACCAAGAAGAGAGAATGAAACTTGAGGAAAAGAGAAAACTTTTGGAAGAAGAAATAACTGCTTTTGCCAAAAAGAAAGCTACCTCAGAAATCTACCAGAACCAGTCTTTTCTTGCCAGTGGCACCAGGAAAGACAAGGACAGGAAAAAGTAAGTAGCGTGTGACTGCCCTGTCTGCTGCAGCCCCTGCATCCCAGCCCCGCCTTTGCTTCCGTCTGTTGGCCTGTCGGAGCGCCTCCATGCACTTCTCTACTGCCCGTGTGCTGACTCTCTCTTCCTCCTGCAAAGACAATCTCACCCCTGAGAGCAGAGGAGCCGTGCGTGTCCAGGTTGCCCGCTGCTCGTGCCCTATCCCTTACAACAGTGCCTGGCACATAACAGGGGCCCTGAAACTGCCCAAGGGAACAACGTAAAGCTATGCCGCAGTGTAAGAGGGGTCAGTTAGCCGGGTGGGCAAAAGGAGCCCTGGCAGTGTGTAGCTTACAAATTGGACTGCTAACCCTCAGGCCAGAGGGAGAAAGACGAGGCTTCGAAAAGTCTCAGAAGCCCACAGAGGCAGTCCCACTCTGTGCCTGCAGGGCCGCCGTGAGTCAGAATCGACTCTGGCAGTGAGGCCGTGATCTGGGGGGGACACTGGCCGCTTTCTTTTAGAGTCCTTCCTGCGGCTCTCATGGCCAACAGGCATGCTGGCTTCATGTCCAAATGAAGCTGGGCAGTTTACAGGGGAATTATAGCTACAAAGACCATGAGTCCTTAGGCCCACTTAAAAAAACTTTTAAAAAAACAAATTCTACTGATAATGATTCTATGAGAATTTTTATTTTAATAAGGAGACAAAGCTATCGATTCGAACTCCTGTGCCTTGAAGTCAGAGCTTATGAAACCCATGACGGACCTAAAGATGCAGAGGAAGGTAGAAAGGGCTCCAGTTCATTTGGGCGCCTTGAGTAGCATTTGGATGAGAACCTCCAGGCCTTCCTTAGGTTTGGGGTATGTGTTCAAATCAAAGTTACCAAAGTTTTAGAACATAAGTTTCTGTGTCTCTTTTTCTTTTTTGATAGTTTTCTTCTGTACTTGATGGCCCTCGTTTTATTTCACCCCCTTAAAACCAGCTGATCTGTGTGATTGTGGTCGAAATCCATTACGACTCATTCTCTCCAGAATGCTACCATCTGCTTCGCTGCCTCTGCTAAAAATAGTGGCCGCCTGTTCTCCTTCCCGTCCTCAGAGTGACCATTTGTCTCTTGTTACCACATCCACCTCTAAGCCAGCATTTTCAGCATACTGTAACTCACTTTCACACTAGTTAGGAAACACAGCCTGGGCTGAGGGTGGCTTTCTCGTTTTGAACTGTGGAGAGGAAAAGCAAATCTACAAGGTCGTCTGGGTGGATGTAAGCAGCCTATGGGTTTTACCATGTTTGGGGTTCTCATACATGAATGTCTGACGGTAGCTTTCCAGGCATGGGTCTTTGCTTCATTTATTGCTGTGCCCATCCCTCGAGCCCCGACCAGTGCCCAGCACATGGGAGGCAGGCAATTATTTGTCACGAGAGTGAATATGGTAGTGTAATAGCTGTGCTTCACTCATAAATTGTTTAGCTAAAGAATTAATGTCAAAAGATGAACCATAAAGAGAATTTATTGCTACTTGTTATCATGCTTTGAATTATAAAGCTAAAGAGATTTTTACTTTCTTATCCTGCTAGCGTAATTCAATGTTACTAAGATTGCATTCCCCAATTTTATTCCATGTATGTGAATATTGTCACCCTATTTCACTAGAGAGCCATTAGTTTGTTGTGCTTTACTTATTTATACTAAATAAGAACCAAATCCATAACTTTTTGTCACTCAGAGGGCTTTATCCACAAGAAGATATGATTAGGTGGTTTGCCTGTCCTTCCCACCCCCTCCACCACCAAAGTCTCACGTTAACCCTCAGTGGCACAGCCGGTGTGTGTTTGCTCGCCCTCTAAAAGCTTTTTAAAATCGATGATGCTAGTGATGTCATGTCCTGTGTGGTATTTTAAGTTGTAACAAACAAAATTATTCTTTTCTCTTTTCAGCTCCAATTTTATATAAGACAGCATTCTAGGAACTGCATAACAGAAGATCGTTAAAAGTAAATGTTATTGAAGAAGCTAGAAGTATGCTTTGGTTTTCTTTGCTGTGTTACGTACTGGTTCTCCCTCTGGTGAATAGACATGATAATTGCCGTGTATCAAATATTTTCAAATACAAGGTCAATACATACGCCAGGGTGGATGGTAATACTTGGATAGGGTCAGTGTTTTTAGACATCTGTAAGTTGCAGGTTAGAGATGGTTTCCCCCGTTGCCAACTTAAAGTAACGTTGCAGTGCACGAGACCAAAGAGACGAGCTTCAGTGCCCTTCGAAACTCGGACCTGCCTGTTACGGCGTCTGTCTCCCCAGACCACCTTTTCTTTTTGTCCTTGTACGTGTTAAACAGCCAACTTTGGCTATAGGTTTTAAATTATGTCATATGCCAAAACTGTCTTAACTTTTGAATATTTTTAGTCACTCTTATCTTTTGCTATGATCTAGTTGATAATACCCTAAGCTTTTATATCAAATTATATAGCATGATGACCTTCCAGGCTTTAGTGTGACTATGTTTAAAAGTAAAATCATCCAGGTATAATAACTTTTTTTCTATTTCAAATACCTTTTGAAACTGGGTGTGTCACATGAGTTACCTTAGGATGTATTTTGTAGTTACTGTTTAAAACTTCTGAAACAAAACACAAAGCAAAAAAAGTCTGTTCTAGGAAAAATAACAAGGTGGAATCATTCTATTAAAGACTTAAAAAAAAGTGATTATGAACCCCTAAATAGTCTGTTTAAAAACCCAGGTAATTCAAATCTCGAGATATTTCAATTCAGAGTGCCTTAGTATTCTCAGACCAAGTGAATGGTTTCTAACCTTTTTAAATACAGTCTCCCTCTCTCTCTCTCTCTCTATATATATATATATACATATACATGTACACACATATAGATACGCATGCACATATATATACTTAACAATTATATCATTTCTCATTTTTTTGTACTTGAATACTTTTAAATAAAACTGACATTTTACTCCTGAAAAATAAAATTTGCTCTATATTGATCGAAAGGTGTTGAAATTTCTTGAGCCTGGGGAAAGACTGGTCTAAAGCCCAAAGGTCAGAAAGGTTACACAAAGAGGGAACGTTACGTCATGGAGGCACTAAAAAGCTTATGTGTAGCTATTTGAGGATAAGTAAAGTATTGCTACTAGGATTTTAGTTTATACATGTGCTAGTTTGTTTTAAACAAAACCTGTGTGAATGTGTCTCTGATAAATGCAGACAAATTCAGTCATACCCGTGGCTTGCCCTCATTGGGTGCTTTCCACAGTCAACTTCAATCAGAACAGTGGCTTCTGAGGGGATCTGTCGGGATAGCTCCATTGCGGGCTCCTCTCACACCAGGACCAGATGGCGCCCAGCTACCTCTGCGGTTGCTCTGAAGGGATGCAAACAAAAGGACCTAGACAAAGAGGGAGAAAAATGTAACACCAAACTAGAAATAATTTTTAAAGACGAGGCTAACTGGTCAAGTACAGATTGGTAGAAGCCCCAAGACTGTGGCCCTTGGTGCACCCTTGAGGTCTGAAACAACTCCCCCTGTGGCTAACATTCCAGCCAAACAGTAGCACTAGAGACGTGCACACACCTTCGAGTAAATGACCCCTTGAGACCAGGGCAGCATCTGCTCGGAGACAAAGCTTTAAACGACGTGGAACCACGTGCATCGACGGTTGGGTGGAAGCCTGCACCCAGGTCACAGTACAAAGATTAAACAAATTCCGGGCAGAGACGGCAGCTCGGGAGGTTGGGGCAGCTGTCTGGGTGGATTCCTAGAGGAAAATCTCAGGAGGTTTTTCTTGAACAATGCAGGACGTTCTCCTAGGAGCCTATTGTGAAGACCTAATTTAAGACAAAGACTTGGTGACAAAGGGGCCAGGAAAGTGACACTGAGGGGGTTTTACAGCACTGCACTGCACTGCATTTTCGAGCGTAGCGTGGGTTGTCCTAGAAGAGTTTTGTTGTCGACCCTTACCCCATCCACCCTACATCCTGTTCTTGCCACTTGAGACGGCTTTTCCTTCCCCAAATTCAAAGACCATTTCATTGGAACATTGCTTGAGCCCCTCAGGGATGCCCAAGCCACTGTTGTGACGTGGTGTGTGTCAGTGGCTTCTTCAGAAAAGGGTTTACAAAAGACCCTGTACCATTGATCAGATTATGACTCACAGCAACTCCATAGGGCAGAGTAGAGCTGCTCCTCAGGTTTCTGTGACGAGAACAGCCAGTCTCATCCTCCTTCGAGTGGCTGGTGCGTTTGAACCACTGACCTTGTGGCTACCAGCCCAATCCCTAATCCACTGTGTTACCAGGGCTGCTTCACGGGCAGGTTAGAGAGATGGAAGCACCACTTCAGAAGTGTATAGCTCTTGATGGAGGGTCTGTTGACTGACACGTTTCATGTCTTGTTTGGTCAATACAAGGTCTATAGGTTTTGTCGCAATATTTTTTACTTATCCTATGTTAAGAAAACTTTAAGACAGAAAGCATTGCTAAAGATGAAGGACAGTTTGTGAGAGATTTAACTCATCAGGATGATAGGACAATTCTAAATTCATAAACACCTAATAATAGCCTCAACATATTTAAGGCAAAATTTGGCAAGCTTACATGGAGAAATAATGCAAATTCACGTTCTGTGGGCGATCTTAACCCACCCCTGAATGGTAGACCATGGAGAACAAATAGGAGTACATGCTGAGAGCGCGTGGAGAAAATGTGTAGTCACTGGCTTTGTGAACATACCACGAACAGTTCACCCCGGATCTGCACAGTGCACATTGTTTTCAAGTACATGTAAGACCCCTGAAAATCGACCAAACCTTGAACTATAACAAATCTCAACATTAAAAAGGAATTAAATTACACAGATTAAGTTCTCTGACCATAATACAATTAAGATTGAAATTGATAATAAAAAAATAACAAACAAAAAAAAAAGCTGTGTGTTGACTCCCGTAGCGCTGTGGGCCATTGAGGATGTCGTGTTTTGTTTTTGCATGTCTCTAGGTAAGATAGGTGGGATCGACCATACGGAAGGGAAAACAATGGGACCAATGGTTCCAGGAGGACATGGGAGAGGGGGAGCCAGGGAAAGGAAGTGGGGAGCCATCCAACTCGGACAAGGGAACAAGTGATCTGAAATAAAAAATGAGGGCATAGGATGCCTGGTGGGACTTGATCAAGTGCTGTGTAGTCAAGAGGAATTATTGAAAGCCAAATGAAGGTCAAACATGATAGTGGGACAAGAAGAAAGTAAAAGGAAATAGAGGAAAGAACTAGGAGACCAAGGGCATTTATAGAGGTCTAAACACATGTATTTACATGTACATATGTAAATATATATATGTAAAACAGAAATCTATGTACATATATTAATATGTTAACTATTAGGTAAACAGACATTGGGCCTGTACTCAAGTACTACTTCAACGCAAGAACACTTTGTTCTAGTAACCTGGCATTCTGTGATGCACCTGTGTTCCTACTTGAGACAAAGGGACTAGGAGAACGGATGCGATCCCTGAGGGAGGTCAGGAGGAGGGGCCCAGGGAAGGGAAGGAGTGGACATGTCAGGGGCAGAGCTAGGCTGGGAGTCCGGACACGCCTGGCTCCTGCCTGCAGTGCCATCCACACCCGGCCAAGGAAACCCCGACTGCTCGCCTAGACTCAGTCTTTCCGAGAGCACAGTGTAGGTGTTGGTACACAAACCTGGACATCGCCGGGTCTACGGATCAACACCGACTGCTTCATCGGATGTTTCAAGGGCACTAAGGGGATTTCCCCTTGGCGGTTGTTAGCTGCCACCGAGTGGGGCCCCAACTCATGCATAAAGGGCTGCTGGGGGCCCTGCCCCATCCTCATGATTGCTGTACATATGGTGTGCCCATTGTGATCCAGATGGTTCAATGACTAGTATTCATAAATTGATCCCCAGGGCTTTCTTCCTGGTCTGTTTTAGGCTGGAAGCTCCGCTGAAACCTGTCCAGGGTCACAAGCAACACAGACCTCCACTGACAGATGCGGGGTGACTTGTGTATCCAAGTAAGATGAATCCTTGACACGAGAAAGGGGAACCGATCGCAATGATCAGCATATAACCCCCACCCCCCCTGGGGGACGAACAGCAGAAACGTGGGTGAGGGGAAACAGTGGACGGTGTAAGATATGAAAATAATAATTTATAACGTATCGAGTTCATGAAGGTGGGAGGGTGTGGGAGTGGGGGAAAAAGCTGATTCTAAGGGCTCAAGTAGAAAGAAAATGCTTTGAAAATAGTGATGGCAACTCATGAACAGAGGTCTACAGGGCCAGTCCCAATCAGAGCCAGACTGACCACCCCCTCTCCTAGAAATAAGTGCCACAGAGAACAACACTAAACCTACAGTTCGGAGAGGGGCCCGCATGCCACACCCACATGGAAGCAAATCAAGAAGGATAAAGAGTGAGGGACTAGCCCCCATCCTGCCACACCGAGCCCTAAAGATGACATCCCTGCATGGAGCTGCTAAGGCACAGAGAAGACTGTAGGGCCAACAGCAGCTCGACGTGATGCCCCCTAGCTGGAACATACCATGACAGAGGGCCAGGGGACACATGGCAGGGAGTGAGTCCAGCGTGAACCCCACACAGTGAGGTGAACCAGCAAAAGGAGCAAAGCCACAAAACCACTGAGCAGCCCCCAAAATAGACTCAGGTTAGGAGGGGCAGTTCCTGGAACCCCCCACCCCCCTCCAGGACCAGTGGATAGATAATTATAAAGGTCAGTGGATAGACCTGGAATTATGTATACTTTCCCCCACCTCTTTTTATTCAATCTTTTGTCTCTGTTACTGTTGTTTTG